TTTGACTTCAGCACTGCGCCTCCTCTGAGTGTCCGTATGCGTTACTCTTTCCTCCTAGTTGTAGGACTTCCACTCAGCCAGCGTTCCTGTGGGTCTGGGTGATGTCCCTTCCGTCTTTCAGTTTCACTTTTGAAATGGTTGTTCGAGGCGGCAAACTCCGGCGTTAACCTATGCCGCCATCTTGGTTCCTGTTTTTTTTTCTTTTAATTTTTATGTTTGTCATCAGATTTTTATGCCAAGATTATTTGTATTTGCCATTTGAGGAGCCTGAATAAAAAAAAAACATTAAAATTTTTATATTTTCCTAAGGTGTTTCAATAGTTTTAGAAAAAGTAATCTATGCTCTTGGTACTATAAAGAATTCAAGTTATTTCTATGACGTTACAATCTTTCATTCATGTGTAAATATTTATTGAGTGCAAATATGTATTAGGCTCTTTCTGAGCACCAGAGTTACAGTGATAAATCACACCAAATTCTTATTGGGCTTTTATTCAGTGATGTAAATAAAGATTTGAAATTCATTTTTATGCTAATAGTAATAGTGAAATATTTGTTGACTGTGTGCAATTGTGCTAGATAACATACTTGAACTGGGGTACAATGATGAAGAAGGTAAATCTGTCCAATAAAAGATACATCCTATGTTCTAGGAATTAACTCAGGTCACCTCTTATGCTGCATTTTGCAAAATGTGATGTTTGGACAGCAGTCCATATCATGACTTTCCTTTTAGCCTTTTTCATCCTCACTTTCTGGTCCCATACACACAAACTTGTGGATCACACACACCCCTTGATCACACACACACACACACACACACCACAATTTAAGATTTATATTGCTTATCAGATTTTCCAGGTTGTATTGTTTGCCTTGAATTGCGCTTCTCATGTCTTTACATTATAGATGAAGTCAAAGAATTCAGAAGTTTTTGAACTGTTTTTTTAAAACTACATTAATAAATGTAATGATTGTGTCATTTAAATGTTTTCCTTCTCCCCTCTCCTTTTTTTCTTGGTGGTAGGCCATTCCTGGTGTGCATAACAAGGCCAACAAAATTGCTAATAACCAGAACCAAGGCACCCAAGAAAAAAAAGAAAAGGTAAATTGAACCTCTCAAGCTTTTAAAAGATGTTTTTTATTTCTTTTTGCCTATTTGAGCTACAATTAATCAGAATGTTATTTTGATGAGTATCTGGGTATCAGTACTATCTTCAGAATATTTCCTTTCTGTGAACATAACTGGCCAGGATGAAGGCCAGACACCTAGTGGAGCATAGGTATAAAATGTTATAAAGCATCCCTCAGCCATTGTCATCTTTATCTCTCTTTTCTACTCAGCTGGGCGAGTTGTCTGTTTATTCCCAGAAAACGCCATGCACACCTGAGAGTTTGTGAGACTTTGACCTTGGTGTTCTCTCAGCCTGGAAGTTCATTTCCCACTTTGGTCTTCCTTTTATCCTCCAAGGAGCAGGTCAAAGGTCATCTGTACTGAGAAAACATTCATTACCATCCAGCAGAATTAGTCATCCATTCCTGTTTTCCCACCTCTATTCTAGTAGAATGAGTTATTCTAAAATTTATTTTAGGATATAATGTCAAGGAGCAATGAATTTTCTTTTTTTCCATAAGGATAACTGATTATCCCAATCTTTAAAAATAGGCCCTCCTTCATCCATGGATACACAAGACAACCTCTGTCCTATCGGGTTATCAGGGGCAGTCTGTTTGTGAGCTTTCTCCTTGTCTCTCCAAGGACAAATACTGCACTACCTACATAGCAAGCCTAATAATAAATCTTGTCTTCTAAGAGAATGATTTTCTTCACACATTTTTTCTTCTTTAAAAGTGTTTTATCTATTCATGTCCTTTTTCTTTTCCAGACAAATTTTAGAATTGGCTTGTTAAATACCACCAAAATAGTTCTTGGGTGATTTTGGTTGGAATTGTGTCAAACCTATAGGTTAATCTGGAAAGATACCTCCTTATAATATTGAGCATTCTTAACCATTAACATGGTGTATCTTTTATATACCATTTTAGAACTTATTAAATTTTTATTTTATTTCTTTCAATTTTTATAATTTTCTTCAGCAAGGTATTGTAATTTTTTATTTATTCCTAGACATCCTTATATATTTTTAAATTGTATTTTCTGTTTGTTACTAGTGTATAGACATAAAATTGATTTGTATATATTTATTTGACATCTTGTAACATTATTCTTTTATTCTTTTATAATATAAAATCTAGTGTAGAACACTGCAAAAACCAAAATGCTAAAAAAAAGATTAACATCTTTCATAACCCACTACCTAATGATAAACTTATTAAATATTTCATGTAGAGCCTTCTGGTGTCTTTGGGTGTGTGCTCTATATGTATGTATGAGGTATTTTTATTAAGAATCTCAAATTTTAAAGAATTTTAAAAAAAGAATCTCAAATTTTAATACTATGTCTATAGATTTTTATTTCTGGATTTTTGATATAACTAATAATAACTGCTTTGATAAAGGCAGTTTTATTTTTTCTATACAAATCTTTTTCTTGTTTTATTATATCTGCTAAGATCTCTAATATGTTTAATATAAGTACTGATAGCTAACATTCTTATCATTTTCCTCCTGATATTTAAAAAAATGCTTTTAAAGTTTCATCATTCAATATGATGTGTGCTGTAAATTTTTGTAGCTAACCTTTAAGATTAAGGGTATATTCTCTTTTATTCTTATTTTGCCAAGAATTTTTATAATGAATGGCATTGGCATTGAATTTTTTTTAATTATTGTATACACTGAAATAATTGTGTGTATAAATTTTTTTTCTCCTGAATCCCTTAATGTGGTAAATAATCCACATTAATAGATTTTTGTTCTGTTGAACCAATCTTGAATTCTTGTCTTACACCTAACTTCATCATGATCCTTTTTGCCCATTGCAAATATTTCTTTTACGGTTTTGCATCAGTGGTCATGAATGAGATCAGCCTGGAATTTTCCCCTTATGTACTCTTCTATCTGGTGTTGGTTATATGAGTCTATTAAAATAAATAATGAACAGTCAGAATATTTCTCTTTTTGTCTTTTTCTTTGTTTTAGTTCTCTGAAAGTTTATATAAAATGGTAATTATCTATTCCTTAAATGTTTGGTCAAACTAGCCTACAAAGCCATTGAGGTCCTGTGTTTTCTATGTGGGAAAAATCTAAAATATGGATTCAGTTCTTTAATAATTATTGAACTATTCAGATTTTCTATTTCTTTTAATTTTTTTTTATTGATTTCAGAGAGGAAGGGAGAGAGAGAGAGAGAGAGAGAGAGAGAGAGAAACATACATCAATGATGAGAAAGAGTCATTGATCAGCTGCCTCCTGCATGCCCACATTAGGGATTGAGCCCGTAAACTGGGCATGTTCCCCTACCGGGAATTGAACTGTGACCTCCTGGTTCATAGGTTGATGCTCAACCATTGAGCCACACAGTCTAGGCTCTCTTTCTTTTAGAGTCAGTTTTGGTTACTGGCTCTTTCCTAGGAATGTAATAGCACCTTTTTACATTTGTTGGCATAAAGTTGTTCAGGCATTCTTTTCATTTGTATTATCTATACTCTCTCCATAGTAGTTGGTTTTTCTTTCTTAAGTATAGTTTATTATTTTACATTTCTTTCTTAATTAGTCATGAAGTTACTTTCTATTTAATTCTTCTTTTTGAAGTATTAACTTTTGAACCATGTTAGTCTTCTCTGTTGTATCTTTATTCTGCTTAATTAATTTTGTTTTCATCTTTATATTGCCTTATTTCTTTGTTAGCATTTGTTTTCCTCTTTTCCTGCTAATAATCTTTAGCTAGCTATAGAGTTTGTTAATTTTTAGCCATTCTTTTTTAAAATAATAATTTATTTTTCCTTCTAAGTACCTCTTTACCTGCATCCCAAAATTTTAGGTTGAATTTCTCTTGTTCAGTACTAAGTTTTCTTCAGCTCCCAACATGATTTCTTTATTATCTGTTTATTTATAAATGTATGTTTGAATTTCTATTGGAATATATATAATTTCAGGGGAAAAACATATAAAATTATGCAAAACATACAGGTTCTAGGTATTGACTTAACTCATTAATGAGGGAACTAACCAGGATGATTAGCCTTGTTCAGAGAGAATTGGGAGAGGGAAGTATTTATAGTTGCTGAAAGAGAATGCTTACATAAGACTCAAATTTAGATACAATGCTGGTTAATGTCTTACAGGGCAATAAAACTGTAACCTTTGGAATTATACTTTCTACAGGACTAAAATAATTTGCATCTCTACCAGGCAAAATTAATATGCAATGCTACTGGACATGAACCAGAAAAATGCAGCTTTTTCCATAAAAATTACTATTGTCGGGGAACCTAAACAGATTGAGTGATAACCAGTTATTTACTCAGATTTTTTAAAAGCCTACTTTGTGCCAGGAACTATTCTCAGAGCTGAGGATGCCACACTATGTTGCCCTCATGGAGATTATATTCATGTGGCCTCCTTGTATATACCCAGCTCCAGCCTTTAGGGGAGAGCCAACCCTGCCTACACCTTTCTCTCATGTGCAGTAGAAAGATGCCCCAGGTATCTGGCAACCCACATTCAAACTAGAGGAAATCCAAGACATGCGTATCCTATATTCTTCTCCAGAGTGCTGGTAGAGTTAATTAAATAATCAGTTGTGTAAACAATTCCCTCTTAAATATAAAAAAGTGCTATTAAAGATTTATATCTTTAAATATTTTAAAAGCTGGCTGTCCTTCTGACTATTGTCTTTGACCTAGAATGATCTGGTTCTGAGGAAAAGGTTTTACAGAAAAAAAATCATTTGCTGTTTTTACTGTACACTTAACTGTTAATATTTTTCAGCAAAAATTAAAGAGACATTGTGATCAATTTATGTGTATATATATTTTTAATCCTCACCCGAGGGCATTTTTTCCATTGATCTTTAGCGAGAGAGTGGAAGGGAAGGAGAAGGGGAGTGGAGGGGAGGAGATGGGGGGGAGAGAGAGAGAGAGAGAGGCGAGAGAAGAGAAGAGAAGAGAGACATCGATGTGAGAGAGATACATCAACTAGTTGACTCCCACATGTGCCCTGACTGGGGTTAGGGATCAAATCTGCAACCGATGCATGTGTCTTTGACCAGGAATCAAACCTGAGATTCTTTGGTCCACGGGTTAAAGCTCTAACCACTGAGCAAAACAAGCCGGGTCAAATTTGTGTATTCTTTTGCTACTTAATAAGCATTTTGTATTTGGCATCTACCTTCATCATTCTTGAATTTTATCAGTTTTTGGATTTTCTACATAGATATGCAGCATTGCTTTTGTTAGACACCATTTAAATAAAGTCAGGTATGTGTTTTCCTTTATGGATCCCAAATAGTGTTCTCTGTTTTGGAGGAACTTATTACATGCCTGCTTTCTGTAATAGCCAGTTCATTGTCCATTTACTGAAGTATATCCTGCCATTAGTGGTTTTATCATATAAATCATAATTGAATGTACTTTGTTGAAATCCTGTAGCAAAACAAATCTTAATCCAATTGTTTTGGAATCTGTGGAGTGTTCGGATCTCTCTGCTCCTGTTCTTTAGCAGCTTGGCTCTCTCTATAAAGTTTGGCATGTTTTATTTTTCCCAGCGTTCCAGAAAATGTCTACGTTCTCTGAAGGTAATCTGACCACAGAGTTTTCTTTTGCTTTAATTTGAACAAAATATTGATGTGTTGTATCATTCAGCATGTAAATTTCAAAAATACTTAGACATACAAAATGTATTCATCATAAAGATTTCTTTCTTTTTTTATACTTTGAAATGTGTTGACTATCTACAAATTATAAATGAATAACTTTTCAGTGAGCAAATCGTGGTATTTCAAGTATGTTTTTAAGAATGAAGTCTATCTTTTACAATGGAATGAAAAAGTGTAAATAATTGTAGAAATAATGTAGTGAATATTTTTTTTACATTTAATTTTGAAATGTCTTTCAATTGAATTACTTGGTTTAATAACAAAGACAATTAAGTTTTATAGCATAAAGAAAAGACATGTAATTGGCTTTCTTACTGGGAAAAGGTATACATTCTTCTGGGCAGGTCTACAGTCCTAAAAGCTGTGTTTTTGACTTCCTGTTCTCTTTATTGGTGTGTTTACATCACAGAGTCACTTTTACATAATACCATAAGTAGGAGAAAATAAATTACATTTGTTTTATAATCTTCCTGATATCACTGAAGTTGGATACATATTATCTTTTTATCCTATTTGCCATTGAAGAAGAGGATTGTTCAAAGGCCATTTACCCTTCTCTCAAATTTTGCATCTTCAGAGGCAAGGAACTGCTCCACCTCCGATGAAACTGCCGCCTCCTTATAAAGCTCCGTCTGAGGACAGTGATGACAATGAAGAGGAATGTGCATTTACCAACAGTGAGTTCCTTTCCGTTATTCGACGTGGGTACAGAACTTGTTAAATTGTGCTTTAATGACTGCTGTAAATTATCAAATGCAGTGCTGTCAGTACTTAGAAAATGTGCATGAATAGATCATACTAAACTTAACTTTTTGTGACTTTTCCTAAGCTTTCCTCTTTGACAGTAATATAATATTAGAGTGAATATCGCACTGTTTTACCTACATTTCATCCTGCGCTTGCTATTTGGTTGTGAATACAATAATGCTAAGAAGTCCTTGAAATTGCATTTGACCCACAATAACAGGAATTGGATGTCAGTTCTCGATTACTTACCCTACTCAGTGGATGGTGATGTTGCTAATACAAAATTCCAGAAGGCCTACTAAGTCATATTTTCTCCTGTAGAATTCCTTTCATGATTTTCTATTACATTAGTTGTATCACATATACATGCCTTTATTTAAAAGAATTTGCATTTCTTTTATGCATGTAAAGTTTATGTAGTTAGATCTGATTGCTGTTTTATAAGGAATTTCTTTTGGGGGTGATGAAAAGAAATATTATGTATATCTTTCTTTAAAAATATTTTTTATATACAGAAGGGGAGTTTGATATAGAAATTGAAAGAGTTGCACTTCTGATGTGTGATCTTCAGAGGCAAGAAACTGCTCTGCCTCCAATGAAAGTGCCCTCGTCTGTGAAAACAATGGGACCCACATCACAGGGTTTTGATGAGGGTTAGAATAAAATGATAAGGCTTTTAGCCTGACATATAGTGAATCTTCAACAAGTATTGTAGCTCTTATTATTGTTAATAATAATTATTAAGTTAGCTCTATATTTTTCTAACTATAATAAATGTTTAAATAAAAGTATAAATATAAGTTTATAATAATTTAGGTGACTTTATAAAAGTTTGGCTCCTATTTTTATAAGAGTCTTTTCTCATACATTATTTTCTTCATTCAACAAATCTTTGTTGAAAGCCAACTGCTTTTTACTAATAGTGTTAATGAAGTAAGTCTGCTATGAAATGAATAACATAGCTCCCTTTATGTTGGTGGAGTCACCGGCTGGAAAGGAGGATACAAAGGCATGGGAACAAATTTTGATAAATGTATTATAGTGCCTTGGTTTTCAGCCTCTTTTGGAGAACTACATATAATGGATACGATTGATACGTTTGTGCACATATGTAATAAAATCCCTGTTTGGATATAGATATTAGGACAGCCAGAGCAGAGTGGAGATAGCTTGTTGATTATTCATAGTTTCTGCGATGCTAGGGTGCCCATAGTTGCATAGTTGTCAGGAAACTTTGTTTGGGCATGTGACTAAGATTACATTCTAATACTAGTTCTTCTACTTACTTGTGAATTCATGGACAAGTTATTTAACCTTTCCTGGATCATTCTTTCTTATCCATAAGGGGAGGAAGGGGTATCTTGTTATAACTTGCTTTATAGGATTTTTGTGAGAATTAGAGGGGGGAAAACATTTAAAGAGCTTAGGATAGGGATTGTGATAACTAGTAAACACTCAGATTTCCATGTGCCAAACCTTCACATATATTAATAGGTCAGTTAACATAATAACTTTGTGAGGTCTCTAATTACACAAATAAAGAAACTGAAGCTCAGAGAATTAAGGAGTATGTCCAAACTTAACAAGCTAGTAAATGGAGTGTACACCCAGGTACTCAGACTCCAGAACCTGCCCTATCATCTACATTTCCCATTACTTAAAACCCATTAGTATGGCAGAAATGGGTACAAAGTGATTGGAGGTTACCTAGTAAGTAGTACTTTGATGCCATAAAATAGGCAGAGCACAGTACTCACCTGAAGTTCAAAGATCATGGGTACATCTGTATCCGCACATATGCACACAGTCATGACATTAGTGGGGTTCAGGAAGAACATCAGTTTTCACTCATCACAGATCCACCATCTCTCCCAACTCCCAGCAGCCCCGCCCCGCTGAGCTCAGGATGCCAGCAGAATCCGGGACAGACTGAGTTGTACGGGGACCATTTTTTCCTCATATACACAACCCGTGCAGAGCTCTCCCTTCACATGGACAAACTTGGTCTGTTGGGCAAGATAAACCGTTGGCCTCGTGCTGATGACTCCCTGAGACCCAGCCCCACCACAAAGGCCTGTGGACACCAGGTGGGCAGGGGGTAGGGGTCAGCAGCTAGACTTGGCAAACCCCAGGACTTTTGCTGAGTGGCCTCAGACCCAGCACTGGCACCAAGTTTGAACCTGTATCAGTCTGGCAAACACCACTTGCCCTTGGTGACTCACTGAGAACCTACCTCATACAACTCCAGTACTGCCAGAGGCTCCTTGAGTGACTGAGCCTAGAAGCAGCCGGCAGGTGGAGGCAGATCTCGGGTGCCTTGGGCCTTTGGCTGATCTGCCCGCAGGCTCAGTGCTGGTGGAAGCCAGCCTTGATGTGCAGCTTGGTTCTTTCCACACACACCCAGACCCAGCAGAGGCAGCCGCAAACTGTGGATCACTTCGTAGCTCCAAACAGGTTGCTCAGGACCAGACACGGTCAGAGTCTGACACTGACCTGCACCAGAGTCCCTCCCAAGAGGCCCCAGAACTAACACACCCAGTTGTCCAGACAACATCAGAGCAGGATCCAATTAGCTTCACAAGTGGCATATTCAAAGAGTCTTCTCAGCATGCAACAGACCCGCTTGAAGGGAACTCTACTTCCTGTGGTCAGCACCTACATTGCAGCTTGTGCATTAAGGTTGAGGCCAATCCTGAGGGTCAACCCCATGCACAAATGGACCAATAGCAATCAAGACTCAGTTACAACAGGAGGGAACCCATAACCCACACAGGGGACATTCCTAGAGCACCCAGCTCAGGTGATCAAGGAGACTGTGCCACTGAGTCCCACAGGACACCTATTGCATACGGCCACCTTACCAAAACTGGGAGATATAGCAGATCTACCTAATATATAGAAACAAACAAAACAAGACAGCCAAAATGGGGAGACAAAGAAACATGCCTCAAATGAAAGAACAGGAGAAATCTCCAGAAAAAGAGCTAATGAAATGGAGGCAAGCAATTTACCAGGTATAGAGTTCAAAAAAATGGTTATAAGAATGCTCAAGGACTTAGTGAGAGCTAAAGGAACTTAGTGAGAACTACATGAAGAGAACATAAAAAAGAACCAGTCAGAAATGAAGACTACAATATCTGAATTGAGGAATACATTTGAAGGAATAAACAGTGGTTTAGATGAAACAGAGGACTGAATCAATGACTTGGAAGACAAGGGAGCAGAACACACCCAATCAGACCAGCAAAACGAAAAAAGAATTTATTTAATTTAATTTTTAGTTACAGTTTGCATTTAATATTATTTTGTATTAGTTTCAGGTGTACAGCACAGCAGTTAGACAATTATATACTTGACAAAATGCAACTCTTTCTTGATCAGCCAGTGAGTTGCAACTTGCAGGATGAAAACACAGTAATTGCTGGTTCCCACTCCATTTCTGATTCCTTACATCTGGAAGGGCCTAATAATTCACAAATGGTACAGTTGTCAGTCTCAAAAATTTAAAATCTTTGTCAATAATAAGTGAGGCTATATGTGAATTGCACATATGAAAAAATTTTCTGGTCAGTATTATCTACTTAAGAAATATGATAACAATTTCCTAATAGCAATAAAAAAAACTAGAAAATATCTAGGAATAATACAATTAGAGATGTAAAGCTCATGGCAGTGATCCATAATTATGTTAGTCATTCACTCTTTGACAATGTGATGAAAGCTATAAATCCACTCCCAGAAAAATGTCTGCAGATATATGGAAACATTGTCACCCATGTGCATGCACACACACACACACCATTTTAAATAGAAATAGGCATCATTTTGCCTATTTAGTGGTAATCTTGAAGCTCATTTAAGAATTCATGGGCTGCAGGTTAACAATCCCTGTAGTTAACTATGGAACTTTATTAAAGAAGATTAGAGGGTGGCGGGGGGAGGGAGAGTGGGGAAGGGGAGTAGAGATATATTATTTTCCTGTTTGGAATACTCAGTATATTTTAGATTTTAATTATTTCTAAATTAGTTTATAAGTTTAAGGTAATTTGAATCCAAATTCAAAGTGTGTATAGGCCTTTAAAAATATATGACAATTTCATTGAAAATTGATTTGGAAGTGAAATGCTAGACAGCTTTGGAAAGTGTCCCCTAGTATCTGAATATATTCTAGAGTGGTGGTTTTCAGACTCAATTTGGAGCTTTTATTTTTTTTATTTTTTTTATTTTTTAAATATATTTTATTGATTTTTTACAGAGAGGAAGGGAGAGAGATAGAGAGCTAGAAACATCGATGAGAGAGAAACATCGATCAGCTGCCTCCTGCACATCTCCCACTGGGGTTGTGCCCGCAACCCAGGTACATGCCCTTGACCGGAATCGAATCCGGGACCTTTCAGTCCGCAGGCCGACGCTCTATCCACTGAGCCAAACCGGTTTTGGCTCAATTTGGAGCTTTTAGAAATGACTTGGAAGTGTTTTGGATTGTCGAAAACAGCTTTTCTCAACTGTGACACTGTTGCCATTCTTACCAGATAATTCTTTGGCAGGGGGTGTCCTTTACATGGAAGGATGTTTAACAGCATCCAGGGTCTCTACCCACTGGGTACCACTACTACTCTCTTTCCCACCCCAGTGGTGACAGCCAAGAATGTCTCTACATATTGCCAGGTGTCCCCTGGTCTAAATGGATGGGGGTTTCTACTGTCATTTATTAGTTGGGGTGCCTACTGTACTGTATTGTATAGGATAGTCCCATATAATGAAGACTTATCCTGCCCAGAGTACCAGTAACCCTCGTAATTAGAAACATTGTTTAAAACTGCGGTAATTAAATCACTTAGTTTTTGCACTAAAAATTGTCTAGAAATAGACCGGGGTGTCTATTTAGAATTTAGAACATAAAAAAAGTTCTTTTTTTAAATAGTAGATA